TTTGGCCCCAACAGAGACTGCTGCATGTTATTGTACATAAACTGCTGGTAGTTGTTTGGTATCTACATTCAAATGGAGAGCAAAACAAATTAGTAGTTAGTGGTCGGGTTATTAGGTGGCTGTGCCGGACAAAAGAGAAACAAATGATCTCACAAATGGTGAAGTTAAAGGACTCGAGTAGTTTAAACACGAAGCTCTAAACACAAGAAATATTGCACTTACCTGATCGTTCGACAACAGTGGAGATTTCATGTACGGGTTTCCGTTGAGAGAAAACTGGTTAACGCCAGAATCTAAAAAAAATTGATTGAAAAGGAGGTTTAGAGCAGACTCCTGGTGTGAAGGACAAACTTACGGTGATTGAGAGACTGCGAAAAGGATCGTTGTCCAAAGTGGCCGCCACCACCACCATCGCCCATATTTGAATATGATAGGTTTTGGAAAAGGTTGTAAGGCATGTTTTGACTAGCTAGTTTGGCGTTGAGATTCGGCTTCAAATTCCACTCGCCGTTAAAGCCTCCACCTCCAGCCGCGGCGCTTACAATTTGCTCTGGAAAGCCTCTGTTTCGCAAATTGCCGCCATATCTTCCTCGATTGCCATCATATCGGCCGTTGGAGACTGAGATAGCCGCAGGTATTTTTATATTTTCATTCTCATTTTCGTGACTGTTATGGCTCGGACTTTTGTTGGCTGAAGAGGATGATGCATCACTGGAGGAAGTGTTGCCGTTAGCAGCAGCTCCTTCTGATGACTCAAGCTCAGGTTTTGTTTCGGGGTCATCCTCTGGTTCAGCTTTCATTTCATGGACTGGTTCAGGCGTGGTTTCAGGTGCAGGTGCAGGACTACTGCTGGACTGGCCATCCTCCGCATCGGCAGCACTCTCGGAAGAGTCTGCAGCTTCTTCATCCTTTACCTCAACCTTTTCTTCGGCTTTATCCTCCGCTTTATCCTCCACTTTATCCTCCGACTTATCTTCGGCTATCTCTTCAATCACCTTTTTGTCATCGATGCCCAGTTGAGTAACAGCGAGAGTTTCATTTTTAAGCTTTGTTACAGAGAGACGAAGAAATCGGTTGGGAATTAGAGTATCGGGCGAGACGCCAGTCTCCTTGCAGGAAGGGCATTCGTGGTTGTCCGAGTCGAGAAGTAGTGAGCGAATACCTTGAAATAAAGAAAAAATTGATTAACATTTCTAAAACTAGATCAAATGGGGAAAAATTGGAAAAAAGAAGAAAGTTAAGTTTAGAGAGAAAGATGACAATAAATGGACATAAGAAAGGAGTGAATTAATTCACAGCGGCTTGGGATGTCGGAAAGTTCTTCCTAAAGGTGACGGCTTTGAGTGGCAATACAAACCGTAGAGCTGTAGAAACCAAGTGGCTCGCATTATTAGTAAATTGGCAGTTTTATTATCAGTGCCGACTATAGAAAATTAGTTTTCATTATTAAAACGTCAAATGCAATGCGTTTTACATCACAGTCAGTCGATTCAAAGTGAATCATTACAGATAGCGTACAGATCAAGTTATCACAGTGTATCGGCAAAGGGTAGAGAAGCTATGTGACTAGAATGGGGGGCTCGAATCGCAGCACTAGGAGTTTGGGTTTAATTAAAGAGGATTCTTGAAGACTCTCGCTAGATGAAACAAGAGAGGAATAAGAAGGATCAAGAAAACGTCCAAAATTACATTCATCGCAAAAGCTGTTCCCGCAGCAAGGAATTAAAACGGCATCCTGGAGTAGGTTGTTGCATAGTGAACACTTAAGGTCGTCTGGAATTTCCATCTTTGGCGCTTCAGGTTCGCTTTCAGTAGGAAAAAACGGCGGTTTTTCCTTTTTTACTTCTCTGTACGCATCGCTATTTTTCAAGAAAAAACGATGTGATTAGTTAGAGCTGCTCATGCTTAGATGTAGAAAAAACTTACTGGTCAATGATGGGTACGGCATACTCTCCTATAGCAGTTATCATTGCTCCCTTTTGATCGGCCTTGGCAGGAATCATAAAACTACGAGGAATGCCGGTACTTCGCTTTACGTCAACCTTTTTACACAAACAAAACATTATTAGAAAAGAAAACACAAAAACACAGTATAAAATAGATACATACATTATTTGTCGGGCAATGTTTGATGTAATGACCAGGTTTGCCACAGCGATAACAAGTATAATTCGGTGGAAGAGGTCCTTGAGGACCTTTGCCTCGGGCGTATTTGGATGGATCGTAATCCTTGGTAGACTGAGTCAGCATTTCCTTAATTTTATCATCTTCAGTTCCCTCGGTCAAGTTGTTGTTGTTACTCTGAAAAATTGAGGAAAAGGAACATTAGACTGGTGGCCATGATTTGTAGAGCATGCCAATACATACTTTGATTATCTTGGTGTTTTCGTCAGTAGAAAACGTGTTATTGTCCTGAAAAAAAACATTCCTATGTAAGAATACACACAACATGACGAAACTCAGACATACATTTGATTTATCGTTTTTGTTCCAGGACTTTTTCGCCGCGGCTACAGGAACACGGGCAACAATCACAGAGGTATTTTTAGGAATTAAAATAGAATCTGATTCGTAAACTGAAGGCGAAAGAATTGTTAGGTCATTGGTAATCTCGATTGCATCAGGCACTATTTACGAACCTTCTTTCGTTTGAGCATTGGTCACTTGCAAGTCAAGCTCGGCACTTTTGCCAATTTTCCTTTGTTGCATGATGCATTTTTTCAGCTCTCCAACAGAGATATGCAAGCTATCAAAGGTGATGGTGTGAGCTTCTTTTCCACTCTTGAACTTGTAGTGCACCGACATTGTGGCATGCGGTGTGGAGATTCCAGTGATGAAAATTGGACACAATGGCAATCACAGGTAGACTCTGGCTCAGACGCCGAGTGGAACAGTGATGGCTTTGTTGAGTTGGCAGTCCTCTAAAATGAGGCCAGGTGAAATGAAATGGAACGATTTAGAATATAGAAAAATAACAAGTACGTCTCCGTAGTAGCAGGGCACAATCAATCTCCTCGCCTCGCTCGCTGAGCTGCTCAGGCTCTGACAGTCCCCTTCACAAAGTACGTGCGCTAACGCTGACAGCGCTTTCAATGCTGAAAAGTAGAGAAGCATGCCTGTTTCTCTGGACTAGTCAAGGTCAAAGATTTTGATTCTTCTTCCTCCTGGGACTGCAGAGTGTTGGAGTTTGTGCAATTTCATTGGACACTGGGATTCACGTTTATTTACCGAAAATTGTAATGCTTCCAATATTGTGATAGCCAGATGCAGGTTATCGCACGAATGACACTGCGAATTGTGAGATAAAGAGCAGACATGTGACCGACAAGATTACCAGACTCCCTGTATGCACTTTTTTCTTTGTAGTTGTGGTAGTCATGGTGACACGCATCATGCACAACGATCCTTCTTAAGAAAACAGTCGAATGATATCGCGTGAAGGGATTTCTCGCTTTGATAGCACTTTTGAACATTGGACCTTCAAGCACTCTGCAACCGGGGATCATGGCAACCGCATCTAGGTGACGATCTCATTTAGTCGTTGCCGGATCCGAACAGCACTGTTGCCAAGATGAAGATCATCCACTCCAAGCATCTACTTCTACTGCAGATTATTCTCACTTGCCTGCTTTCAGTCCCCTGCGCCGAAGGGGCCTTTAAGCGCGTCTGTTACCTCGTCGGATACAATGGCAGCCCTCACCTGGAGCTGCTCAGTCCCGGTGAGATGAGATGGCATCTCTGCTCCCACATCATATTTGCCTTCACCAGTACGCTCAATGGTACCGTCCACGCTGAGCCCCAGCTGGTGCAGTACATTCAACTGATGACCAGCAGTGCGGCTAACCGAACTGATGCCGCCAACGTCAAGTTTCTTTTCTCAATCGGTGGCTCAGACTTTGCCTTTGTCAGGGAAGATGATAAAACCATCTCGAGGTAAAAAAAAGGCTGAACTGAAATGATCGATGCAACATTAATTCTTTTTATCACACAGATTCATCGACTCTGTGGTTGCCTTTCTCAAGCAATACAATCTTCATGGCGTCGATCTGGTAAGACGTGAGCCTGTTTACTACTGCCAATTACCAATTTGACACAATTCAATTTACAGGACTGGGAGTTTCCGTACATTTCCAATGACAAGAAGAACTTTACAAAACTTCTAAAGATGATTCGAGCACGGTTCGACCAGGAGAGCAAAGGAGGACAGTATCTGCTTTCTGTGGCACTGACACCAATTATGTTCATTGTGGAGAAGAGTTACCAAGTGACCGCCATCAGTAGGTACATCGACTTTGCCAATATTATGACGTATGACTATCACACTCCGGGCACCTTTCCATACACAAACTACAATGCTCCACTGAGGGCAAACAAACTGGACATTTGGTACTTGAGGTACTTTAATGTTGAGTTCTCAGCGCACTACCTGCACAGTCGCGGACTGCGCAAAGACCAGATTATCGTAGGTATTCCTTTTTACGGGTACCTCTACTACCTTGCCAATCCTCAGTTTCACGGAGTGTACTCTCTCTGCAACGGAACACAAGGTTGGTGAAGCATCATCTGGGGTGTACTTTATTTCTAAACTGTTTTTCCTTTCTAGTCAGTATAACCTTCTCCGAGATGTGCCCTGAGTTGGCTTCCCTCACTGCAACTCGAGTCTTTGATCGCGTCTCCAAAGTGCCCTATCTGTACAACGGAAACAAGTGGATCTCATATGACGATGTGGAAAGCGTAATGATCAAGTCACAGTGGATTTCCGACAACGGGTTTGGCGGCTCGATGACTTTCGCTCTCAACTACGATGACTATGCGGCAAAATGCAACAGTCAGCCGTTTCCCTTGCAAACCGCGATCAATGACATTCTCGGCTGAACTGTGATACCTAATGATCAACATTGATTAAAGGCAATTCAGCCTTTTGGCGCCGACCTCTTCAGAGCAGTTGTTCGTCGAACCGGTAGACGGAGTCCAATCTCCTAGTCTGTTGATTATTTGCCTTAAACAAAGTTATGATTTTTGTTCAGGTCCCTCTGCACTGTGATTTAAAACTATGGACGGCGTTTATCTTATCGTTTACGACTGTGATCTTTGCTCAACACAGTAACAGTGCCTCATAACTTTTTTTCAGACCGCGGGAAAAACATTAGTCAATTTTTTTGAATTGCAAAAATTAAACGCGTTTTTTGGACGCGTTTCATTTACACCGTGAGATGGCGCAGTCGGCGTCTGTAAGTGGAATTTCGTGCCTGTACAAATGTGCAACTGTGACTGTGCGTAATTGCTTACTAAATAGCTGCAACACCGAGTGAGTAAAAAACAGGCTCGCTGTCCTCTTCATCCCAGATCTCCTCCAAATGCTGCTGGCCGCCTAAAGGAGGCACAGACATCGTAAGACATACTTGCACACTTCCACAGTCTGACTGCGCCAGTTGTGGATTGATTCGCCGTCGGGAAAGTCGCATTCACAAAGTATACATTGATTAACAGACTGAAATTCGCGGATCAAAACCATCACAAAACCCGCATTTGTGTGCAATACTCGGAATCGAAATACCACACTTTGACACGCAAACTCGGTGTGTCAAACTCGCGTCACAGCTCCACGCAGCAGCACACACGCACTAGAAGATCAGGCACGGGACCACTTGCTAGTCCCAAAGTCGGCGGTGGATCTTAAGTCTCTGGCCTAGTGTGTGTGTGCGCGTCCTTTTGATCGGCGACCGTGTAAACCACAAAGCATCGACAAGCCAGTGATTGCTATTTGATTGAGCGCATTAATCTAGTGGTCACCCAGTCTGGTGATACTGTACAGCCACTCTCCAAGTGATGCCGCTCTAGGTAAATATTTGAAATTCAACTCCAAAATCTCTCCAATAATTTAACTAGTGCCAATGCTAATTACCTAAACTACTACTACTGCTAATTTTGACTCACATCTTCACCAAAGTGCCCTCTCAGTACCTCTCAGTACCTTCCCTCCGATGTCGGAGTGTCCTCTTGCCTTTTGCCAGCCCTGACGCCATCTTCCATTTTTGGCGTTGCTCTGGTCGTTTAGCTGCGCGATCCTCCTTCTCAGAGGGTGGGGCCACTCGGTGGAGAGACGTTTCACTGCCGCACACACTGTGTCGGTGACGTAGAGCAGCAGCAGCAGAGGCAGCGGCAGTCAGACTCAGCTCAAGAGACCGTTGCAGCCGCTGCAGAGTAGTGCACTCTGTGCAACTCTCTCCTCTGCGCTGCTCACCACTTCCAGGCGCAGGCAGTGGCGACGGCTCCCCAACGAGTTTGGCACGCACTCGCACTATCGACGACGGCAAAGACGAGCACCACCGAGATCAGATCCTTTTCCTACTCATTCTCTCTCTCTCTCTCTCACTCTTTCCGTGTTGGTGTGCTCCCCATTTGACTATCGGTCAAACAATTTCGACGAGCTAGGCCTCTCTACTGGTTAGTACGGTGTGAATGTGCTATATCCCAATGGCCTAGAGCTATGACTGCCCAGAGCTACACAGACGACCAAAGGCGGCATTACTAGAGAAAGTGCACACTTGACATTACCAAAACGCTGGCGATGATGCACTCTGATGTGCCATAATCATTTCTGAGGTTGCTGAGCTGTAGTCTCAACGGTCTTGGCCCCAGTCTACGCCGCAGTGAACTTCGAAGAGCACTGGCCCTTACAGCAAACAAACATAATGCTCACAAACTGCACTTGTGTAGTGTAGAGCCAGTACAGCTTCAGCAAACACAAAAACGGGTGAAAATTACAAACAGACACAAACTGCTGTGCTGGTGCACGCCCAACTTCTCAAGTGCCTCCATTGTGTTGAACTCAGTGACCAGAATTCCATTTAAATCAATTTGAACAGACTTTACCCATCTTCGTCGTCGCCCTAGCTACACACGCTGCACTGACTTGCTGGTGCTGGCTAGCAACAATACTGTAGCGCCAGTCCATTAGTAGTACTTCTAGTAGCTGCTAGTATTTACCTTGTTTTCACTGTTGCACCTTCCTTTGCCTCTTAGTTCACCGCCTCTAAATTCATTGAACTCACATCACAGTTGCTTCAGCAGGAACTGTTATGGGCTCATCGACTCAATCTAGCAGTGACTCATTAACGTGTGGCGTAATGTCACAGTGATGAGGATGATTATGGGCAATACTAGCGAAGGGAGAAGTGGATGATGTCAGTTGAGGCGAACCATTTCCAGTAGCACAGTTACAATCATCAGTTGACAATGCACTCCCGAATACAGTGCTCACTGTCTGGCCCAGCAACTAACCAACTCACTTTTTCTGTTGTTACTTTTCTCGACAGATGCACTATTTTGCTAGATAAAGTGGACGATCTCAGCAAAGTCACAATCATGACGGAAGAAGTGAAACCCGAAGCAATGCAAGTCGAGGAACAGGNGAAGTGGACGATCTCTCAGCAAAGTCACAATCATGACGGAAGAAGTGAAACCCGAAGCAATGCAAGTCGAGGAACAGGAAGAAGGGGAAATTCTGGAGGACGGCGAAATTGCCGACGATGAAGATGACATTGTTGCCCCTGGGCAGCAGAATGGAGCTGGCCCGGGACCGAATAATGAAAAAGAGAATAAGGAAATAAGCAATCTGACCTCATTTGCCGGTACATTTAGTAGCTATTACATGGACAGGTACATACGCGGTGCTCAGAGAACTAGAAAGTCTCTTGATTTGTAACGTACAACTCATTTCTCATAGGGAGGATAACTTCAAGCCAAACAAGCGAAGGAAAAAGAATAATACTAAAAAGCGGAAAAGGTCCAATAGCGTTGAG